GCATAGCTAAGCGACATAGACAGGCAGAGAAACCGGACGGTTAGCACAGCGCTGCAGTGGCAGCAGAGGCTAATTTTCAAATTTTAACGCGCGCGCAAGCTCACATTCACTTTAGGTGAATGGCTTCCCGTTGCTGCTGCTGCTGCTACTGATATATATGTATATATATTATACGTGTCCCATAGCTTCTATGCCATCATCAGAAGCAACGAGACAAAGGCATGGATCGCCGCAGCGCAGCATCACCACAAGCAACACATACGACAACGGCGTAATGGCAGAAATGTACGGAAGACGAGGTAAGGAGACTAAAATAACAACAACAACAGCAACAGCAGCAGTAGCAGCAAAAGCCACATAAATGCCAACGAACGAAAACGAAAAAGTTAAAAGAAGAGAACGATCCCACAGCCCCCATGATCGTTACTTGGATTACAGGCCACCGGCAACCACTGTTCGGGTCGTCGTTTGATCGGTCCATCTCTCCATCGACCCATGTCTGCCGATGGCCAGGGCGATCCAGTCACTCTTTGGAAGAACGGTTTCATCGTCATCAGGAATGGCGAAAAGCAGCAACCGTCGTGGAAATTGTCCCCCTTTGTAACTTTTTTATAAGTAACTTCCGTAGTGCAGGATGCCCGCTGGGTCCGTTGACCTAAACATGATGTATAGTAGTAATAGTTGATGCGGTCGTCAAAGTTGTAGCTGAACGACGAACTCTCGAGAACCGACCAATTAAGTGAGCGGGCGGCAGGCCAGCGGCAAGAGGTTGTTAAGGTGCGACGTCAACGGCGATTTTTTTGGACGACACGAATCAAGTGGAAAGGGAGTACAGGAAGGGCGAGGGAAAAAGAAAAGGTTGGTGTATCGACGTAGTGCAAATATCTAGTTTGAAGCGGTGATAGTAAACGTAACAGGCGTGTCAAATACAGCACAGGTAATTGGTAATCATTACCAAATGTCACGCGAAAGCGAGGCAGGAATAAGATTGATCCCAAAATTTAGTGCGGTGCGGCTACCAGTCGCCGCCAAATGTCTAGCGTCGTTGACTTGGCCGACCGTCGTTAACAACAGTAGCGACAGCAGTAACCGAAAATTTCGCGGAAATGCTCTTAGCATCGGCGTCAAGCGATACAGATCGGTGTGAGATTTATTATTCTCAGTAAAGTAACGATTATCAAGTAGATCTCCATCAAACGTGAAGCAGATCTACAGGAAACAGTAGAGACCGTAAGAGCTAGTGACTATTGATACCGGAACGGGCTAGTCCTTAACGATGATTACTTAAAAAAAAAAAAGTCCACTTTGACGGGGCAACCAAATTTCGCTTTAGTCAAACCGTCAGATTTCACAAACCAAAGACTATGGAGTGCAACCAATTATTATCACGATTATTATATAATTAGCCATTTCAGATGTACTGTAAAAAGATCATACAGCGCGTAATCGTACCTGTAAGCTTATCTTTGCATATACATTATCAAGCGAAAAATCAAAAAAAAAAAATCCAACAAACCCAATGTGTATTTTTCGAGCTAATTCAGAGACACTATTTGTTCTATTCTGCTATTTTTTTTACATTTATTACGTGAAAACGCAGTCGTCTTCTGGATTGTCTATTCAACAATATATTATTATATATTCAACTAATGTTGTAATTCTGGGCCAAGCTCTTCTTTGAAATCGTATTTTAGAGACATTAGGAAGCAGATTGGCTCAATGGCCCGATAATTATTATTCATCACTCAAGAAAGGAAGGGAATTTTTAATCTAAAATAACGTTTTTTCTTTATTTTTGTACGTATTTTAAGTAAATACTAAACTTAAAAAAGAAGCTGATTACGGCGACATACAATCCAGAAGTGAAGAAGGAAACAGTAGACATTTTTATTAGGTTCCAAACGGGATAAACGTACAATCGTGCACAATTTAATGCATCTAATTTGAAACACCATTAGGCAGCTATCAATAACAACTGGACACAAAAAAAAAACGCGTGCAAAGCAGCCTGTTAAAATAATAATAACAATGATGATGATGATGATATGAAGAAGCAGTTGCATGGCTACTGTGTAGATGGCGCCATTGTAGCATTAGACGGCATGGTTTGATTACTGTTTTTTTTTGTATAGTTTCGTTCATCTTCTTTTTTTTTTCGAACAATAGGGAACATTTTCGACGGCACCCACTGTCCCTATAAGCGCGCAGAAAAACTTTAAATGAATTTTCGAGAATCATCAGCCCGTACGAATAAATCAGCTCATGTAAGAGAAGGAGGTGAGAGAAAGTAAGCAAGAGAAAAATTACGTAAAAATACATACCGTAACGCAAATCCAGTTAGGTAAAAAAAAAATATCTAAACATTATATACAGTGCTATAATCTATCTGTTCTAGCGTGATCAGCAGCGGCGTTGAATAGCTGATGTTCGTATCCGCTACTTCGTTCTTATTTCTGCCGAGTACACGAAAACCCGTCGTGACGGAACCACAACGCGAGTAACAACCCCCCGCACTTGCAAAGCCGCTTGGGCCTGATTTCTACTGTTCGATTCACGATTTTTAATTAAGCTCAATCGACAGCTAAATACTTAGCGTGAAGGTCCGTCCGAGCAGGGGTGACAGCAATATTCGCGTTCGGCAACGCTTTCGGTAGTTATTACAGTTATTCTGAATAAGATTATAAGTGCCAAATCATGATCACACGGATGATTAGTTGTGTATGTGAAGTTACTTTGCTTGCTTCTGTCTAAGCCTATTTAATCACTAGCCAAAACAAATCAACCAACTTTTGTTTCTTCGCTGTTTTTAGCATAGACACACACACACACACACACACACACACACACTTTTTTTATAGATACAAACTGCACGTTCGATAATGTTGCTCGCTTCGACCATGTACAACATGCGGAGAGAATGTAGTTTTGGCAGATTTTCTTTGGCCTGTATTGTTTTTGTCAGTAATTGAGCCTTCGGTTAACATTACCCGATATTAATGCTCCTGCTTACTTTGCTCGGGATATTTATGGGCATCAGATACGTTTTGATTTTGGTGGTGACCGACCGGCTAACTAGCACGCAGAACACTTGGTACTTTTCCAAGTTAATTGTCAATCCCAAAGGGAAAGCAACATTTTTCAAACACCACGCGCAGTACATTCAATAATCATATGGCATATAATTCGGGTCCTGGTTTTCTGTGTTGCCGAGTGGTCTGCTACCTGACAATGAACGAGCATGGCCCTTGCACGGGTAGAGGGACGGACGTATGGCTTCACGTCTTAACCACCGAGCTATAACACAACGCCAACGCGGCCGTTAAATCTACGCTTCCAAGCGAACCAATGTCTGCCACCAGCCCACTGAACAAAAACAGCCGTTATTGAAAATGGGACGGTGCGACTGTCTTCACTGCCCATTTGAAAGCCCTGGAATAAATTCGATTACTATCAACCAACGCAGGTCGAGGGCATCGTCGAATATGAACAAAAAACGCTGTCCCCAAATGCTAAAAGAACCGAAATATCAAACAAAAGCGACACGTTTTTCCACTTGTCCCGTAATCATCAGACTGCTATCCTAGTTGGAATTGCTGTCATCGCCGTTACGATCGCTACTGCTAACGGGGTTGCCGTCGGGGCTCTAAATGCAGCGGCAGTCGTCTTTCGCAGGCCTTCTTTTCTTGGGAGATGCAAGCGATCGGCAGCTTGTAAGCACGACTCAAGGCCCTACTGGGAAGATTCCGACGATCTGAACAAATCGGTGCAATGTAACCCAGCAAGAACATAGTGTAGGGCATGTAATCAACAAGAAAGCGTGTACTGCAACGTGGGATCGACAACATCGACGACGCTATTTTGTGCTGGCATGCGATATCGTATCACTTTGCAATGGTCACCAAAAGAGATACGGCGAAAAAAAGCAGAAGTAATTTTCAACAAATCAACGAACGCTATCGCCATTGCAATGTCCACGCTCCGTGGGAGGTCTCAATGACGCCAATCTACGCCCTGAAGTCTGCCGGTGCTCATACTCTACGTGAGACATTTCTACGATGCGACAGGACTTCGACAACCGTTACCGTAACCTGTGCCGGCGCCACCGTCGATTTACTGACAAACAGTCAAACATGCGCGATTTTCGACCGTCGAATTTTTTTGGCGGCCTCTATTCGGCTACAAGATAGATAAAAACTATTTGTAAATGTTCGCGTGCTCACCAACGTCGTTCTGCGTCTGGTATACCGCGTTTTTATCCCTGCTTCGTCTCCCGCTGTCGAACCTCTCTGGATGTCAAAGCAGAGTACTGGAATCAAGGGAACGCACGAAACCCAGATGCAGTACGACGGCAACCAAATTTATCGGTAGCTGCAGCTGCAACAGTTCGACCACTGTTAGGGTCAGGGCCCCCTAAGGTGATGCTGTCATCAAAAGGGTTCCAAGGACAAAAGGCGAGCTCCCGTATGTGTCCTTGTTTCGGGTGATGATGCTGGCTGGTAGTAAAATGATGATTATATGCTACCAAGTTATTAAAACAGATGTATCTGTATTTACTTGCCATAGCCCTAGAGGTAAGATTTTTTGTGTGGCACCGGTAGTTCGCAGGGTTTGAAGCAGTTTTAACACTTTATATTTAACATTGCGACCGCTACTGTCTATAGTTTGTAATGCCAGTTTGGCAACAGAAGTAGTATTACTATAACAGAGGTCTGACATTTACCTTTCGGGACACTCTAGTACCTTCAGACAAAGTGGACAGACACATAAGATCAATAAACATTTAGACTTTTGTTGCTGCGTGATGAAAACAGGCGTCAGTCTTAGTTCGATAATAATAAAATATTACCGACCGTGTGTTTAGCGCATCATTCGAAAATATTATTACCTGTCAATAAAATTATTATCTTCTAGTTGCTTAATATTATGAAGATTTATCATTTTCTTCATTACAAATCGTTGTAGCGATGCTCATATGTATTTTCAGCGTTTCAAAGACTCACCCTTCTCGTTGTTGGAGGCTATCTGCAACCACGAGAAAAGCTCGAAGTCCGATAGCCATTCGTTCCGGAGTGAGGATAAATTTTATGGGTCGACCCACTGAAAGCAGGTCATAGACGATTTCTTTCATTGCGAAATCCAAGCGTTCCTAAAAAAGACAAGAGATTAAACGTTAGTTCTAGCGGTTTCATGCCAAAGTAATACCAGAGCCTTAGCTGGAACACGCTAATAGAGTGAGTGAAGGTACTTGAAAGCAAAAACGAAATCTAGTGATGGTATACAACAGTCTTACAAACGATGCTCCTGCCGTAACCGAAAACAACTGTCCTGTATTCAAAAACGTGTAGAGTCCGGTGATTTTCAGGTTTATACGTAGAGACGGCAATGGCTTCTACCTTTCTCAATAGTATAATGGTTAACGTAGTCTTCTACGCTGCTTTCTCGTCAATGTGCTGTTTATTTTTGTAAACAGAGGGGGTTTGAAGTCTTTGCTTGCACATGTATGGATCACGAGCTATTTTTTCTTCATGTTCCATTAATTCATTTCACCCTCAGTATCCCTACTCACGGCGACAGAATTTAGCTGTCATAGACTTCAATGATTGAATCATTTGACTCAATCGTTATTATTTAGCTCTTTCGATAGCAGACTGAAGGACCGACAGTATCGGTTCACTAAAGTCCCGAAACTAAAAACAAGATCATTTTCATACGCTTGGAAACCTCTGAGATCAGCAAGTTTGTTAGAGAGAGAAATCTGTCTTTGTCCATCATACATCTTTTTCTTGCTAGACTTCAGTTACTCATTATCATCTCTCGACCACTAAATGTGTATTAGCCCGAAAAAGTTGTCGTTCATTTATCCTGTTCAAATTGCGTTCTTTGACCTTGTCTTTCTTTATGTCTGATCACTGATGAACTGGCAGCGCAGACACACCGCCTAAAGCAATATAAAATCAATGCAAACGCCCATGGGAGGGACATTATTAAAAACCAGACGAGACTTACTAGGCTTCGCAATTTACAACGCTCGTCCGTCTGTGCGCGGATCTGGCGAGGTCTTCAGCGTTGAAAAAGACGCAACAATGGTGACTGACAAGATTGTGGTCGGATTTCATCAATATTACCGGTCTGAAAAGGATTGGTAGTCGGTGGAATTGTTCCTCCTCGATGGCCCGACTCATGATCATCAACCGAAAACAGGTGATTGTTGTCATTTCACCATCCGCGTGACAGTTATTAGTGAAGAGTAGTTGTTTGCTTACTCGGTAATTATCGTACTGAGCGGTATTATCTTAGTCTGTGTAAAGGTAATAACCCATGTAAAAACAAGGAAGCAGCGATGCGACTTCCCTGCGGTAAAATCGTGTAAGCCGGAGCTCTTACCAGAGTCAGCAGTCGTCGGGCATCGTATTGATTTTTCTGCAAGCCGCCTACCTCATCTTCCGACAGCCAATACCTTAGCTCGAGACGATCAATCAGCCTATCTGGGTGACTTTTCGCTAACAGACCCAGCATTATCTACCTTGCCGGCGGTTCCAGACGTATCGCTGGCTAATAATTATGAAAGAATCGTTGGTAACTACAATACCAGCTAACTGGGAATAACTGTGGCCGGGAAGACACTCTATAGTAATCATAGGACAGATACTGCAGGTTACCGAAACAAAGTGAAGATGTACTACCAGTTGACCATTATGATGTCGTAAGTGACGGCTTAATCCTGCCAATGATCATCGCGGACACTATTCTGTGGCAGGAAGAACCTTTTGTGGTCGACATTTATGACGGCGAATTAGTTTCATGGGAAGGCCATAGCCAAACTGTGAAGGAGGGATTAAGCTGAATTGAATTGAAGTTTAATTAATTTTCTAAACGGCTAGCGTATGATGAGACAATGATACCACAATATGACGCACTGTCAGCGCTATGTAATACACGAATCGTTGAGTAGAAAATCTCTTAATGTAGTTGATTGGCTAGGAAACTCGAAAATACTTGATCGAAAATATCCAGCGCAGATGCGGTTCAGTAGCAGACAGCTTTTTCTATTTGATGGCCCCAAGCTTCTCACCATAGTTCTACACGGCCTTAATATTAGGCTACTGCGTGCATTATTATGTACTCGAAATCACATACTACATATATATATATATATCACAAAATAGGAGTGTCTTTCTGTCCATTCAAGTGAACCTTGTAGCAATAGGTCGCCTTAAACGGCTACCTTCGAACGCAAAAATAAACTAGTACTACTACTAATAATAAGAAAAACGTTGCACAAATTGTAACTGCAGTTCCTATTCGTGGTTAGTTAATATCTACATAGTGGAACAATCTAATTTTCCTCCTATTAAAACCATTCACGCTCCAGTCAATTCACTGCTGATAGCGATGGATTATTCATTTGAATAATTTTGTATTGTGGCACATTATTGTCCATTGGGGCCCACTCGCAGACCTAAAAGCCCAATTGGGCGTGTCGTCAGATTCAGGGAAAGGTTAAAGTATTCTATAGGATGTTTTCGTTTCTTTCAAGGCTTTTCAGAAAAATAGTTTTTGTATAGCATGCCGTTCACGAGCGCCTACACAGGTTCTGAAGTAGTAATTCGGAGGGAATTGGCACCATGTTAAATAAAAAAAAAAATACCCCACCATGATGTAACCCCTGCATTACATGTGAATTTAAGGTAGCAATGATGTCAACTTAAATGTCGTTTCATTTAATTATTTTTCCCAGAAACTATGCATTCTGTTCATAATTTCCAATGCTCACCAATGCGATGGAAGCTTGATTTGGTAATGGTAAGATTATGTCGCTATGATCTTTTTTTCCGGGACGTTATTTATAAACATCCGGAACGCTTCCATTTGTTTCAAACTTACTTTCTGCTCGATCTGTTGCAAGTCACGCACGTTACTTTGCCTAAAACCTATGGATTAAAAAATTGATCTTGACTCATTTCCTATTGATTACTGTACAAAAAGAAGGAAGCATCAGAAAACTGCCAACTCCCAAACTATATATATATACACACATATATATGTATGTATGTGTGACAGAGAGAGTCTAAACATGTAGAAAAAGAAAAAGAATAGCATTCATCGAAAATTTCTAAATTGTTCCAGAAATAGCCAAGTGTCGACAACGTGGCGGCAGAGAGTCGAGAACTGTCGAGTTGGTTCCGTAGAAGACATTACTACAACCACAACTGTAGACAGACTATATTACAATTCGATGGTATTGATGAGACCCCGGGCTTTCTCATTCTTGTTCCGGTTGGACACCTCTGATGTGAAGGATAATCTTCAGCTGACGATAAGCCCCTGGAGCATGGCGTTTTTGTGTTCGACAGTCGGTATACCCGGCAATTTCTTTACGTATTAATTGTTTACTGCCCATTCTGTTTCCTAATAAAGTAGTCGTCAAATGTGCTATAGTGGATAATGACTGGTTTACGATTGATGTATATATAGGATCAGCGCCATTAGCCAAGGATAATATTGCTATTGAAGGTATTAGGGATAGTATAGAAGTCATAAAAGCTTGAATACGACAGTCATATCCTTCTGTGATAAGTACTTTCTCTACCTCAAAGATATATTGCATTTTTTTCGCACGCGTACACTCTGGTCTAATGGAAGTTTGAGCGCTTTCTTTGGATGTTAGAAGGGACACAGATGGATCGATTTTGACTAGCCAAACCGTAACTGCAAAATCTGGTACAAAGATATGGCGTAGGCGTTGATGTTTGTTTATAGTCCAAAGATAAATCTCTCGCCTATTTCTCCGTATTAAGCTCGTGGTATTGTTCTAGAGATAAAGCGACCCTTTTCCAGCAGTCAGGATGAACTTAGGTGACAAACTGTTTGTCAATTTATATCGAACATCCAGTATACGTATATAAGAGGCAAACTTCTGGAGGCTGGTTAATGGTTTTTGAGTAAGTAACGATTAGCAGTAGCGAGGTGGCGTTCTAAGTTTAACACGATAGTTAACTTTCTTTGTTAAGGCTTTTTTTGATATCTGTATGTCTATCGCAGTTATCTGTGTAATTTCTGTATACTTCGTCTCGTTTCTATTCCCTCTGTGCGAAAAATTGCAGTACTTTTCTACTTCACGTATAAGATGACAACTCAACTACGTATTGAAGAAGATGTGAAGCTTCGCCAACAACAGCCGGCCAGCGAAAACCGTTACTGTTCTTCTAGACTACGTCGCCCTTTAACTGAGCTAGACAAAGTCACTGTAGCAGCTATTGTGGTAGGTAGCAGTAGATGGTTGTTCCCCTTTTCAGCTTAGCCCCTCTGGATGGGAGTCAAAATAGGAATATTCTACTTATTGCAAGCTACAAACCGTTCTGGAGTATCTCTCGTGTTGACAACTATCGCTAAGAGAAGAAGGTTGGCGTCGTTAATCGACAATGCTTTAGGTTATCCAGCAACCTCCCTAGGGAAGTGCACCACTACTAACATTGGCAGACGCACGATTTTTTCGCTTGTCAGCATAGGCCTCCTTCTCCCAGACCCTGATGTTCCGCCTCGCTGCTTTCTACTTCTCATTTGCTTGCGATTTCTGAAGTTACACAGAAAACAATAGCAAAAACAGAAGCGCGAGTCGTCTTTTCTAGGTAACATGAAGCACGGCTCCGGATTTTGTCTGTGCAACTGTAGCCCGTAGTAAGGCCACGGGTTTCGTCCCTCAGCATTGCGATACCGTTCAATTCGCTACTGTCTAGCTTAGTAGCACAGAAGATCGCCGTTTCGCTTGAATTTATCTGCTTTGCTTTAATGAAACTTGGAAAACTGCACTGGTAACCACTACTCTCCAACATGCACACATCAGAGGATCTGTCGTACGTCAGGACTTGCAGCGATCAGCGGGTGGCAATAAAAACGAGTACAAACACACACATACACACAGAAAAAACGACTCAATTGAACGTGGGTAGCCCCTGCTATGAGAAAGCAGAGTTCACTTGTACGAGCCACCCACCTCCACAAGTTCAACATCGTTGGGAACACTTCTGCGCAGTTGTATATACGGATGGAAGGAAAACATTAAAGCAAACAAATTAGGCTTGTCATTAACAAAAAGCACTGCTGTTTGCCGTCTCCCCAGTGACCTAAACTGTGGCTACGCGTCAG